TCAAATGGACCTGAAGCCATTGGCACACCTTGTGAGCTTCCATTTTATTTATTCCCAAGACGGTAGTACTGTATACCCAACAATCACAGGGCAACAGCAAGCGATCTCTGCATCAGGAAATATTGCCTGCCTTTTTCTGAAGTATTTCGGAGTGAAAATCTTTCCTTTTTCAAATCGACACCTTCCATTAGCTCCTCAGTGCAGCTTGAGGCCCTGCGGAGCTCCTCCATCCACAGTAGCCTGGATGCTCTCACTCCAGGGGTTAGGGTGAGAAGACATCCAGGGCATTGATTGTGCTCCGGGTCCCTGCTGCCTTCATGTTCCAACAGAACTGGGGCTTAGTGCTCTGTTCTTGTTATTTGAAGTTGTTTCTCAGGATCCTGGAAGGACTCTATTATAAGTAGCTCTTTGAAATGTCATGTACTTAGGTTCGTCCAGTGTTGCTGAGCTGCAGCTCTTTGTTTTGATACGTAGTACCTGAATATTTCAATATCACTTGTTCCATCTTCCAAGCTTGTGCTGAAAGTTGGGGCTGAGGTTGGAAACTTTTTTTTCCTGGGCAGGTGAAACCTAACATGGCCCTCTACACACAGTAGACATTTAGAAAACACTCTTTGACTTGAACTGGACAAGTGGAGGGATAGTTCAGAGTTGTTTGGATGTGTTCATTTCAACAAATTGGGTTGTATGTATAGAGACCATATCCATATCTCCCCCCCCCGCCACTGCACGATGGAAGGGAGCTCATGCTGAGCCTTCCCCCCACCCCCACCCCCACCCCACCCCACCCCACCCCACCCCACCATGGTTGATTAGCAAATGAATAAGAAAGTTCTTTGAGTCCAGTGATGGGAGAGGTCTCACACATTACATTCCCAGCCTCTGGATTTTTGGACTACTGTCGTGAGCAGTTTGAGTTTAGGTTCATTTTTGCTTTGCTTGTTGGTAGATTTTGGGGGGTGGGGAGGGGTATGGGAAGTTGAAGGGTAATAATTAAAAGTAAAAATAAAAGTAATTTGTTTGTAACTCATTCCTTTCTTATTCCCTTGCCTGAAAACCTTGACAACACCGTGATATCCTTTCTTTAGCTTGTGATAATTGTTACATATCTATATTGTGCCCTTGGGCTTTCTGGGAAAAGGAAGCGCTGTTTCCCGGAGCCTCTTGAAATGGAACGCGCTGCTATGTCCCGGCGCCATGTTTTCCCCTTCGTGGGAGCTTCGAGGCACAGGTGGGTCACAGAGGGGATTCGTGGCATCAGATGGTGGTGCTTAAATTGCCCTTGGCTGAGCCTTTAGTTTCTTTATGGCCCCGAGATGACTTAGGTGGGGACTTAGAACAAGGGCTGTGCTGTCAGGGTTTGTTCCAGCAGTCCTGGAATTGGCCTGAGCTGTTTTGCTAAAAGAAGAAACGTATCCCACGGCAGTGACCCCCAGCCATGGCTTGTCAGTAGTAGGTGGGTCAAGGTGACAGGGACGAGCCACACCATAGGAGGACAGTGCCATTGACGCTAGTCATGTGTCAGGCAGGATATGAGAAACCTCAGTCGAGATTCCATTTTGAGCTTTCTGGTCCTGAAGTGTTCCTTGCAGACACTGATGGTTCCAAATCTGAGAGAGAAAATGAGTCCCTAGACGGAGGGCAATTGGATTTGGCCCTCACCTCTTTGCAGCTCTTGCCGTGAGGCCTAACAACTGAGTTTTTAAGGTTGAGGCTGAGTGCAACCCTGCCGGCCATTTCCTTTCTTCACCGTTTTCCACTCTGACAGGGCATGATCATTTCTCCAGAGGTTCCCGTCCCTTCTATGCCACAGAACAGTTTTTCCTTGTTGATAAAAAATTGTCCTGATGCTCCTGCTGTTCCTCAGCTCCTAGGAGCCCAAGAGCAATGTAGAATTTCAGTGCCCCCCCCCCCCCAGCTGCACCTAGAGTCTGCATTTTGATGACAGCCCTCGGTGATCTGTTTGTAAATTAAAGTTTGAGAAGGCCAGTTTAACTAGTAGCTCACATCCCGGCTTCCCCATGATCCTTTGAGACCTTGTGGTCCATTAGAAAGATAATTTGAGCCACATGTGTAATCCATTTTCCTAGTAGCCGCATTAAAAAAGGAACAGATGAAGTTGATTTTTATAACGTATTTAACCTAGTATATCCAAAATATTATCATTTCCACATGTAATCAGTATAAGTATTAGTGAGATGTTCCCCTCCCCTTTGTTTGTACGAAGGTGTCGAGGCCTGGCATGTATTTATATTTCCACCACCCCTCCATTTGTACTAGGCACATTTCAAGTGTTCAGGAGCTGCACGTGTACTTAGCGGCCCCCGCGTTGGACAGCACAGCTTCGAGAGATACATTTTGGCCTTGATTTGCTGTCAATGCCTGAAGAGCAGTTAGAGCCATGGTCGCCTCAGTAATAAACTTGCGTTCATGATCCGTGTTGTAACCTGTGCCAAGCCCTTTGCCCCTTGTGATTACGTACATCCCGTATGAATCCTCACAACATCCCACAACTTTGTCACAACTTTGTTCAAGACAGTTCTCTTCTCCGTTTCGGCTTGGTAAGTGGTATGAAGAACTCGCCCTTGGTACATGAGTGAAATGCAGGCTTTTTTCTTGAGGGTATCTTCAAAGAACTCATGGATTCCGCCCTTCTTCTCTGGCTCATCCTAAAGGGTGTGGACTCGCTAAATAGAAGTTTCCTTGCTACGCTGGCTGCTCATTAGAATCACCTGGGAACTTTAACGACCTGCTGCCCAGGCCCCACCCACAGATGTTCAGATGTACTTAATCAAACATAGGCTTTAAAAAAAAAAGTTTATTTTGAGAGAGAGAGAGAATGAATGGGAGAAAGCAGAGAGAGAGGGAGAGAATCCCAAGCAGGCTCCACTGCCAGCACGCAGCCTGACCTGGGGCTTGATTTTATGAACCACGAGATCATGACCTGAGCTGAGATCAAGAGTCGTTTGCTTAATCGACTGAGCCACCCAGCCCCCCGCCCCGAGACATGCATTGCTCGGCGTGCAGGTCGGCTTGAGAGCAGCTGCTATGGGAGTGTGTCTCGGCACACTGAGTGTGCTTAGAATCACCTGCACTTCGGGCTGGGACGCAGATCTGACTCAGTGGGTCTGGCGGGTCGGGAGAGCCGGCTTCAGTTGATGCTGCACCTCTGTGGCTCTGTCCCCGGCCCTTTGACATTAGGTAGCTGGCCACCTGACAAACACCTGAGGGCGTTTCCCAAACTAGAAGTTCACTGGCAACAAGCCTGGAGTTTCTGATTCGGTGGGTTTGGGGTGGGGCCCAGGAGCTGTATTTGAGAAGGCATGTTTTCCACACTCCACCATAAAGTGTTTAGTTTACGTTTTATGTAGGCGCACTTCTAGCCCACCTTTGTTTTGGGCTATGTGGATGTTGACTGTTATCAAACCCCTTTTCTGCCTTTACAGAGCTATGTGATTTTCCTCTTGAAACCTGTTAAGGTGATGGGGGTATTTTAAAGGATTGCCTAATATAATGTAGCATTAACCAGTTTGCCTGTTGGCATGAAACCAGCGTGGTTCTTTCTGCTGGATTGGATTGGTTAATATTTTCTTCAGGATTTTGACATCTGTATTTGAGAGGGAGATTTTGCTTTCCTGGACTTGATCTAGTATCGCTTTGCTAGCCTTGTAAAGTGAGTGAGAGTATTACCTTTTTCTGTTCTCTGGAACTTTGTGTGAGATTGGAGTTATGTGTTTCTTTTTCTTTTTCTATTTTTTTTTTAAGAGAGAGAGAGAAATCTTAACATGCTCCACGTGTGGAGCCTGACTCAAGGCTTGATCCCACGATCATGACCTGAGTCAAAATCAAGAGCCGGATGCTCAACTGACTGAGTCACCCAGGTGCCACCGTTTCTCCAGTGTTTGGTAGAATTTACCCCTAGAACCACCTGGGCCTGGTATATTTGGAGTGGGAAGATTTAAAAAAAAATTTTTTTTTAATGTTTATTTTTTTTTTAATTTTTTTTAACGTTTATTTATTTTTGAGACAGAGAGAGACAGAGCATGAACGGGGGAGGGTCAGAGAGAGAGGGAGACACAGAATCTGAAACAGGCTCCAGGCTCTGAGCGGTCAGCACAGAGCCCGACGCGGGGCTCGAACTCACGGAGTGTGAGATCGTGACCTGAGCCGAAGTCGGCCGCCCAACCAACTGAGCCACCCAGGCGCCCCATATTTTTGAGAGAGAGAGAGCAAGTGTGTGAAGCAAGGGTCAGAAAGAGAGAGGGAGACAGAGATTCCTCCCAAGCAGGCTCCGCACTTTCAGCTCAAAGCGAGATGTGGGGTTCAACCCCACGAACTATGAAATCATGACTTGAGCCAAAGTCAGATGCTCAACTGACTAAGCCCCTGGAGTGGGAAGATATTAAACTACCAGTTAATATATGCCATTTCTGTGGTTATGTCTGTCTTTTCATTCTTAAATCTTTTTTTTTTTCCTTTGGTTTATTTATATTTTGAGAGAGAAAAGTGTGAGTCAGGGAGGGACACGGTGGGGTGAGGGGTTGGAGAGAGAGAGAAAAAATCCCACACAAGCTCTGTGCTGTGAGCGCAGAACCTGATGTGAGGCTCAAACCCACAAACTGTGAGATCATGACCTGAGCTGAAGTCGGACGCTTAACTGACTGAGCTACCCAGGTGCCCACATTCTTAAGTTTTAATATTGTTTGTGCCTTCTCTCTTTTTTTCTTAGTCTTACCACAGGTTTGTCAGTTGTGGTTATGTAGTATGATGTTTGTTAGGATGTAGAAATGAATGAACATAATGACATTCCCCAGTTTCTTTCTGATTAATTTTTAATGAGTAAAAACTTTATATCATTTTAAAGTCAAATTTACATCAGAGTTTATTCCAAAAAGCCTTACTTACATCCCTGTCTCTTGCTAGACATATTGTTTCTATCCCCCATCTCAGGTAATTGATATTATAGTTTTTAGTTTCTTTTTCTGTTTCTTTCTTTTTTTTCTTTTATGAAATGCTTCACGAATTTGTGTATCATCCTGTGCAGGGGACATGCTAATCTTCTCTGTATCATTCCAGTTTTAGTTTATGTGCTGCCAAAGGGAGCATTCTTCTGTTCCTTTCGCAAATTTGAGCAAGTGCGTGCACACACATATTTGCATTTCCCCTCTCACACCCAAAAAGCATACTGTGTACACTATTCAGCCTCTTGTTTTTGTCACTTAAAATATATCCTGGACATCACTCTTTTCTTCGTTTTGTCCTCTGGACTTATTCTGTGGTTTGGATATTTCAAAACATAGAATTTTTATTTAGTTCTAGTATATTCTAATTTCCATTGTGATTATTTCATTCACCTGTGGGTTTAGAAGTGTCTTTTTAAATTTACAAATACATTTAAAAAATGTTTATTTATTTTTGAGAGAGAGAGAGAGAGAGACTGAGCAGGGGAGGGGCAGAGAGTGAGTGGGACAGAATATCTGATGTGAGCTCTAAGCTGAGAGCAGAGAGCCCAATGTAGGGCTTGAACTCACGAAATGCAAGATCATGACCTGAGCCAAAGTTGGATGCTTAATTGACCCAGCCACCTAGGCACCCCTACAAGTACATTTTTTTAGGTATTTTTAAAACTGATTTCTAACTTAACTGTATTATGGTCAGAGATTGTGACCTGAATACTAGTAGTTCTTTGAGATGTGTTGAGGGTAGGTTTGTACAGTATTTTGTGGTTGGCTTCTTTGTCTTAGCATAATGCTTTTCAAATTAATTCATGTTGTCTCAGGTATCCATAGTTGGTGACTTTCTGTTGTTGAGCAGTGTTCCATAGTGATTTGTTTATTCACTAGTTGATGAACATTTGAGTTGACTTAAGTTTTTGGCCATTATGAATAAAGCTGCTATGAACATTTGCTTATGAGTCTTTGTGTGGACTCGATGTTTTCATTTGTGTAAATACTTAGGTGTGGCATTGCTGGGCAGTATGCTTAGTGTATGTTTAACTTTACAAGAAACCGACCAACTATTTACCAAAGTGCTTGTGCCAATTTGCATTCCCGCTGGCAAAGCGAAGCATGACAGTTCTGCTTGGGCCATATCCTCATCATCCTGTTATTGTCCATCTGGTTAAATTGTAGCCATTCTAGTGGCTGTGTAATGGTAGCTCACTGTGGTTTTAATTTGCATATTCCTGATGTCTAATGATGGTGAGTGTTTCTTCATGGGCTTATTGGCCATTTGTACATCTTCTTTGGTGGAGTGTCTGCTCAAATCTTTTGCCCGCTTCTTATTGGATTGTCTGTCTTGTTAAATTATAAGACTTCTTTATATATTTTGGATACAAGACCTTTATGAGATATGTGATTTGCAAGTACTTTCTCCCAATCTGTAGCTTACCCTTTCATTTTCTTAATTGTGCCTTTGAAAGAGCAGTGGTTTTAATTTTGATGAAGTCAGGTTTATCTTTTTTTTTCCTTACAGTTTATGTTTTTGTGTTCTAAGAAATCTTTGCCTAACCTAAGTTCACAAAGGCTTTCTCCTGTGTCTCCCACTAGGACTTGTAGTTTTAGCTCTTACGTTTAGATCTTTTGTGTCCGTCCCCTCTCCTCCCGAGGGTTCATATCCTGTGTAACCCCTTTCCCTTGAGTTTACAGCCTTGTGAGACCTTGAGGAGAGAATCCAGGTAAGTTGTACCCAGACTCCTGACCCATGACCCACGGAAACTGCAAGATAATTGTGTGTTGTTTACAGCTACTGAGTTTGTTATGTAGCAATATAAAACTAATACTTCTTCATTTCAAGTTGTTTTGTATATTGTGTGAAGGGTCCAGACTCACTTATTTTTCCATATGGATATCAAATTATTCCAGCATCATTGGTGGAAAAGACTATCCTTTCCCATTGAACTACCTTGGTACCTTTGTTGGAAATCAATTGACCATTGCTGGGACCTCCAAAAGATGAGTCTAATTCTGAAGTCAATCTTCAGAATTAGTGGCAATCTCTTTGCACACTTCTCTATTACTGCAAACTGCCTGTTGGGCAGGCAAACTTAGTCTTGCTAGTATCACACTGTCTTGATTACTGAGGCATTTTTAGTAAGTCTGTAAATTGGACAGTGGAGATACTCCAACTTATTTTTTCCCTCTTCAAGGTGGTTTTGGCTATTCTCGGTCCTTTGCCTTTCCATATAAATTTCAGACTCGTCTTGTCAGTTTCTACAACAAAGCCCATTGAGATTTGACAGGGATGGCATCGAATCTCTAGATCAACATTAATATCATAAGAATATTGAGCCTTCTGGTCCTTGAGCATGATATGTATCTCCATGTATTTAGGTTTCTTTAATTTATCTCAGCAGTGTTTTATAGTTTCCCTTGCATGAATCTTGTACACATTTTATTAAATGTGACCCTAAAGAGTTCATTTTTTATATTATGCACATAATATTTTTACACTTTAATGTCCATTTGTCCATTGCTAGCAATACAAATACAATTAATTTTTATTTTGACCTGTATATCCTGCAACCTTACTAAATTTACTTACCAGTTCTAATAGTTTTTCTATGGCATTCTTAGGATTTTTTGCATATATGATCATGTCTGCAAATACAGTTTTACTTCTTCCAGTGTGTTCTGCGTTTCATTTCTTGCCTTATTAAACTTGCTAGGATCTCTAAGAGCTATGGAATATGCAGGCAGCAAGAGCAACTGTCCTTGCCTTGTTCCCATACTTAGTGGGAAAGCGGTCCATCTTTCATCATTAAGTATGATATCAGCTATAGTTCCCCACCCCCCGCAGGTGCCCTTGACTATTCCTACTTTGCTGAGGTTTTTTGTTTTTTGTTTTTTGTTTTTTGTGCTTTTTTTAACGATGATTAGATGTTGAACGGTGTGGGTAGAAGCCATGTCTCAGATACAATCTTTAGGAAGCTAGTATACCTCATGAATAGCCTTGTTGACGCTACATATCACTGCATTCCTATCCATCACCAACCACCACTATCGAGCTTTTCCTCCTAGTGTTGATAACAGAATTTCTATCTGGAGTGTGGAGAGTTTTTAATTCTTCTGTGGAGCATCATATATTGCTCCTTCACAAACCATGGAAATTCTCTGCCACATTCATCTTCTCTTTCTTTGCCATCCTTTTGACACTGGTTTGGGTTCTTCTTCATCTCTTTGCCCTTTTTATTTCTGCCTTTTTCCTGAGTTTATTTTCTCACATGTATGAAAGCATTCTCCCTGCTGATAGTGCCAAGTTTTAGAAGTGTGTGTGTTCACGTGTTCAGCCCTTTGCCTTCTCGTAGAGCTAGGCTGGTTGGCCAGCGTGTTTAGGACTCTTTGCCGTACTCCGGCAGTCAGTCCTAATTACAGTGGGTCACTGCAAGCCTTTCTCTTTCTGAGTCTCCAAAGCATATGACGATGCCAATCTTTGGACGACCCTTTGGACACTCCTTTCAGCTGCTGGCAGACTGCTTGTGGGGCAGGCTAACTAGTCCTGCTGCTGGTCTCTGCTAACCTCCAAGGTCAATTTGCTCTTGTAAATTAGGACTAATAAAGATTCATCAGGCCCGGCATTGGCAGCGGTTGGCAACATTTGCAAACCTCACTGCTTTCTCCTTCTGGCCCATGTAGAGAAGGGACAGGAAACTCCAAAACTGTCCAGCTCATGTTTGGAACTCTTGTTTCGAATTGCATTCAGGCACCTTAAAAAAAAATATCCTCAGTGGTGTCAAATCCTTGACTGAGGACTTAAAATTTAGCTTTAGACCAAAATAATTTTGAGGCTCATCTATTAGAGCAAGTGGGCACCCGTATTGTGGGAAGCATTGGTATTCACTGAAAAACTGAGATATGGTAAAATTTATGAGATGATGTCTTATGTAACTCTAAAAACTCTAAAGGCAGTTTCAAAAAAATAGGAAGAATACTTTGGTTGGCGGTGGTGTTACTGGACAAAGTGCACACCACCAAAATGGACTGCTTTGAAGAACTCCTCTAGCCAAGTATGTTCTGATAGGCATCTTAACAGAGGCCTCCTTACATCACACTTGTACCTCATGGGATATTTATTCTATTTCTATCCACCAATAATGAAGTTTTCCCATCTTTCTGATATAGTTTGCAAAGACTCTTCCATGATACAAAGTAATCTTACAGTGGGCAGACAAGAAGGAATGTACTGGTTCCTTGCCTCCCAGACGTGGATTTGGGGAGAAGAGGCACTATTTGTTTACTTGTCTGTGAAATGAAAGCTAGAGTTCCTGTTTGTGACCATCTGATTTTATCACATAGAGATGGAATTCCAAAAAAACCCTTTTTGTTCAACTGTGTAAGCATGAGGCATTCCTCATTTTTCATTTGATCATCTACTAGAGCGACAAATATCTGTTAGTGCACAAGAGGGTCCTACTGACTGGGTTTGAATTCCGATTTTGACGGTTCTTCGTGGACACATTGTTTAACCTTTCTGCTCCTTGGGGTTGTGTGTTTTCGTATGAATATAGTCCTAGCAGTTGCCTTATAAGGTTGTTGGGGAGGTGGGGTGGGGATTGAATGAGTTCATCTTGCTTAGGAGAATGCTTGGTACATAGTGGAGGGTCAGTAAAATGAAGCCACGCTCATTACCCATGAGTACATGTTCTCTTTTGTTTTTTTTTTTTAACTATACAGTATCACTTGTATGATTATCTTTATTACTGTTTAACTTCTACCTATTTGTTGTCTTTATTGCCAGTTAACTTATATTTGTTCATCTCCCCAACTCAGTTGCTAGTTCCTTGAAGACCCATCTCAGTTTCTTTTTAGAATTTCACGCCGTGGTCCAGATTAGTTGTCCAGTGTAGATTTATTGACTGATTTTGGATCTCTTTGGAAATAGGCTTAAATAAAATTATGGAAAGAGCCTAAATGTCCATCAACTGTTGAATGGATAAAGAAATTGTGGTTTATATACACAATGGAATACTACGTGGCAATGAGAAAGAATGAAATACGGCCTTTTGTAGCAACGTGGATGGAACTGGAGAGTGTTATGCTAAGTGAAATAAGTCATACAGAGAAAGACAGATACCATATGTTTTCACTCTTACGTGGATCCTGAGAAAC